AAAGAAAGAAAGAAAGAAAGAAAGAAAGAAAGAAAGAAAGAAAGAAAGAAAGAAAGAAAGGAGGGAGGGAGGGAGGGAGGGATGAAGGAAGTCTAAGAAGATTTTCAGTCATCCAATCATGATTGTGCCAAAGGTGCTTTTTCAAGAGGCAACTGAAAAGAAAGAAAGAAAGAAAGAAGGAAGGAAGGAAGAAAGAAAGGAAGGAAGGAAGGAGGGAGGGAGGGAGGGAGGGAGGGAGGGAACAAAAAGCAAATAAACTCAAAGGGCAGAACTTGATGGACCTCTAGGTCTTTTTCTGCTGCCAGTTTTCTATTTCTAACAGAAGCTTGGTCAAATCCTATTTGCTGAGTAGAAACCGGGATAGCCCTGTGCCCAATTCCAGCGCCCGGCTTGGGGGACTCACCCGGTGCAGCCTGATGACCAGCTTATGGCAATAGTCTTGGTTCTCCTCGTTGGCAGCTTTCACGGGGAAATCCAGATAAGCTTTGGAGATTCCTGGAATCAGGAAGTGCACCATGGTCCACAGTTCCATCAAGGTGTTGTGCAGAGGGGTATCGATCAGGAGTAAGCGGTACTGACTACAAAAGAGAGGCACAGCGTCAGCCCTCCCAGAGGAAGCCAGCCAAAGGACACAACAAAATGACCGACGTTAGTGTGAGGTCACATTAACGAAATCTGACAAGTCTGAAGGTCCAAACTTCCCACTGCTACTTTTAACAATTAGGGAGGATCCTTCCTAAGTTTTTCCCTCTGACTGCTAAGCATCTGTTTGTGTAGATTCCAGGACCAGTTCTCTAACTCTTTCTTTACTTTGCCTTCCTTCCTTCCTTCCTTCCTTCCCTCTTTTTTCTTCCTTCCTTCCCTCCCTCGTTTCCCTCTCTCCCTTCCTTCTTTCCCTCCCTCCCTCACTCTCTTGTTCCTCCCTCCCTCCCTGTCTCTCGTCCCTTCCTTCCTTCCTTCCTTCCTTCCTTCCTTCCTTCCTTCCTTCCTTCCTTCCTTCCTTCCTTCCTTCCTCCTTTCCTTCCTTCCTTCCCTCCCTCCCTCCCTCATCTAACTCTTCCTCTCGTCCCCCAAGGTCATCTCCACATCCCATTATGCACAGCTTCTATTTACACAGAAATACGGAGAGTCCTCAGCTTACAACCACAAGTGAGGCTGACTTTTCTGTTGCTAAGGGAGACCTTTGTTTCAGTGAGTTTTGCCTCGCTTTACGCCCTTTCTTGCCACAGTTGTTAAGGGAATCACTTCAGCAACCCGGCTGTTAGCTGAATCTGGCCCCTGCGCTGACTGTTTGTCAGAAGGTCGCAAAAGAGGATCGCACGATCGCTGCAACCGTCATAAATACGAACCAGTTGCCAAGAGGCTGAATTTTGATCACGGGATCGTGGGGATGCTGCAACCGCTGTTAAGGGTGGAAAACGGTCACAAGTCCCTTTTTTTCAGTGTGGGTGTAACTTTGAACTGTCGTTAAATGAATGTTTGAAAGTTGAGGACTACCTTAGCTTCTTCTGACAAACGGCAGCAGAACGTAAGCCAAAGAGAAGCCGAGTTCGGATTCCTGGCCCAGGCAAGGCTCAAAGGAGGGAGGGTCAGGAGGGGCCTACCCTACGGGACAAGGACCAGGGCCCACGCGGTCCAAACGGGGGGCCGCGGAGAAAAGGCGGGTTTTGAAGGGGTCCAGACCTGCGAAGGTGGAAGAGGGCTTCCCAGTGCTTCTCCGTCATGTTCTTGATCTGCTGCATCTCATCCACAATGAGGTACTTCCATCGTATCTTCATGAAGGCTTGGTGGCCCTTGAAGAGCTGCTTGTAGGAGGTGATGCAGACGTTAAAACTGTTGGGCTCCGTCCACTCCTACGGAAGGAGGGAAGGGAAGGAGAGAGGGAGGATATAGGGAATGGGAAGGGCAGGGAAGGAAGGAAGGAAGGGACGAGAGAGGCAGTGAGAGGGAGGGAAGGGAGGGAGGGATGAGAGAGACAATGAGAGGGAGGGAGGGAAGGAGGAAGAAAGGAAGGAAGGAAGGAAGGAAGGAAGGAAGGAAGGAAGGAAGGAAGGAAGGAAGGAAGGAAGGAAGGAAGGAAGGAGGCAAAGTAAACAAAGAGTTAGAGAACTGGGTCCTGGAAACTACATCTGTATTAACTTGTGGATTAACTTGCAGGAATGTTATTTTCCCCTGTATCCCACTCCCCTCTTTTCTTTCATGTGAGTGACAACATTCCAGGAAAACATTTGGCATCGACTTAAACATTTCTTTTTGAAGAATAAGAAACCATGACTTAAGAAAACCCATTTGTCTGAAATGGTATAAGTTCTCCTGCCTGAGCAGGGGGTTGGACTAGAGGATCTCCAAGGTCCCTTTCAACTATTCTATTCTATTCTATTCTATTCTATTCTATTCTATTCTATTCTATTCTATTCTATTCCATCCCATATTCTATTCTGTTCTATTCTGTATTCTATTCTATTTTATTCTGTATTCTATTCTATTCTATTCTATTTTCTATTCTATTATTGTATTCTATTCTATTCTATTCTATTCTATTCTAATTCTATTCTATTCCATCCCATCCATCCCATATTCTATTCTATTCTGTATTCTATTCTATTCTATTTTGTATTCTGTATTCTATTCTATTCTATTCTATTCTAATTCTATTCTATTCTATTCCATCCCATCCATCCCATATTCTATTCTGTATTCTATTCTATTCTATTCTATTCTATTCTATTCTATTCTATTCTATTCTATTCTATTCTATTCTATTTTGTATTCTGTATTCTGTATTCTGTATTCTGTATTCTGTATTCTGTATTCTATTCTATTCTATTCTATTCTATTCTATTCTATTCTATTCTATTCCATCCCATCCCATCCCATCCCATCCTATATTCCATTCCATTCTCTGTATTCTATTCTTATTCTCTTCTAAAAATGGCCTACCTGTCTTTTCATTCTTAGTTCTCGCTGGGTACCAATGTAGAGCAGGAGTTTGAGACCAGGGCACCAACGCTTGAGCTCCAGCTCCCACTTCAGAATGTGACAACTCCGGACGACGACCAGGTGAGGACCCCAATCCCCTGGACAGGAAGACCACAAGAAGAGATGCTAAGAGGTCCGTCCCTCGTTCCGCCACCTGACCCGCTTACACCCCCGTAAGAGCGCGTACCTTCGTTGCAGGCCAGGTGGGCGAAGAAGGCGATGACCTGCACCGTCTTCCCGAGGCCGGCTTCGTCGGCCAAGATGCCGTTCAGCTTCTTCTTGTACAACTTGGCCAACCAATCCAGGCCAATCTTCTGATACTCTCGGAGGGAGCCGTACAAGAGGGGAGGCGTGTTGTATTTGACCTGCAAGAAATTGCGCACATGTGTTTCCTCTCCGTGATATTCAGCTGCTCTGTTCGTGACAGGGAGTCCTCGACTTACGGCAGTTTGTTCAGGGACCGTTCGAAGTTACAACGGCACCAGGGGGAAAAAAGGAGACTTGGGACCATTTTTCACACTGTTGCAGAAGCCCCACTGGGGTCACCTGATCAAAATTCAGAGGTTTGGCAACTGACTCACGTCTAGGATGGTCGCCGTGTCCTGGGGTCACACGATCCTCCTTTTGCGACCTTCCGACAAGTAAAATGAAGGGGGAAACCAAATCCACTTAACAAACCGAATCGCTAACTTAACAAACGCATGGATTCGCTTTGACGACTGTGGCAAGTGGGGATGCTGTAACGGTCGTAAGTGTGAAAAACGATCCTCAGGCGCTTTCTTCGGTGCCTTTGTAACTTTGAACGGTCACTAAATGAACTGTTGAAAGTTGAGGACTACCTGTGTTGTGGCCACAACGTAGACGAGAATGTCCATTTCTACGCAAGGCAAGTTTGTGGCGCCATTTCACTCCATTTTGCATGCTTGTCAAAACGGATCCTTGCAGTTGTTAAACTAAATCTTGCCAGACGGTCGCAAAGGGATACTGCAACCGTCGTGAATAGGAACCGGTTGCCAAGCGTCCGAATTTTGCTCACAGCGACCGTGGGGATGCTGCAACGGTTGTTAAATGTGAAAAACGGTCATCGGCTATTTTGTTTCAGTGCCGTCGTAACTTTGATCGAGGCTGCAAGCCGAGGATTACCTGTACACCACCCGTGAAATCAGGACCAATCCACACGGATGGATTTACCGCAGTGGTGATCCGGGCGCTGCCTTTCGGCAGTAGGACCTCTGCCGTGGCCGCCACTTCGGCTATGTCTCGCCCGCGGTTCTTCCCGGGCATCATTCTCTCGGCCCCCTTGTACTGATCGATGCTGAGTAGGGAGTCGATTGAGATGACCTCCTTTGGAAAGAATTCCCTCTCGGCTAGGTGATCTTCCATTTCTAAATAAAGAATAAATGTTTTTTTTTAAAAAAAAAACCTCTGTTTTTATTCTTTTAATGAGTGCTAGGCTAGATAATTTCATCCATCCATCCAACTGGAATGCTACTCATCTCACCAAAAGCCAGACACTGAATAAAACATTAAAACAATAATCCCAAAGATGCTTTTTCGCAAGGCAACTGGACTTTCTTGGGTTTTTTTTCTTTGAAGATGTTTCGTTTCTCACCCAAGAAGCTTCTTCAGCTCTGACTGGATGGTGGGGAGTGGAAGGACTTATACTCCTTGCCAGGGCTTTTTTTCTCGGAGAAAAGGTGGCGGAACTCAAACCTGGCCACGCCCTCATCAAACCCTAGGACCGCCCCTTTAGAGAACAGGAATGCAAGTAAAATTTGGGAGGGGCTATTTCCGGTGCGGCCGGCCCGGAAAAAGGTGCCGGAACGCGGTTCCGCCGCGTTCCGGCTGAAAAAAAGCCCTGCTCCTTGCAGACCGCTGGTCATTTGCCTTCTTTTAGAGAGCCGTTGAGGTTTATCTGGGTCACCTGAGCGGTGCAAATGGGTGTGGAGTCTTCTTGGAACTGCTTTCAGCACACCCATTTCACTACTCAGGTGACCTTGAGGACACAGGTAAACCTCCAAGTGACCTCAAGGACTCTCTAAAAGGATGCAAATGACCAGCTGTTTGCAAGGAGTATAAATCCTTCCATTCCCCCACCATCCAGTCAGGGCTGAAGAAGCTTCTGGGATGAGAAGCGAAACGTCTTCAAAGAAAAAAAACAACAAGAAAGTCCAGTTGCCTCCTGAAAAAGCATCTTTGGGATAACTATGACCTGGACGACTGCGAGTCTCCATAGACATTAAAACAATCAGTATTTAAAAATTCAATTTAAATAAATATAAGCAGGATGGAGAGGGAGGGAGCAGAGAGGTAGAAGACTGTCTATGCCATCAGCCACCTCCAACGTGCCACCCCGCCACCCCACCCCCCATTAGGGCCTCAGGCTAGTTGGCCCAGCCAGGTCTTCAAGGTCTTTCAGAGAGCCAAACAGACGGGAGCGGATCTGACTACAGGGGGTCAGATATCTCAAAATGCCCCCCACCCAAATACCTCAAAATTCCATATTCACACCAAGGGTTACACTAGTGGAGCTGAGTGACAGCCTCTCTCCATCCAAGCTGGTCCCTTCTAAGAAAGCATTTGGAACGGAAACTCTGCCAGCGTAATACCTTCTTCGCTCATCTCGTCTTCCGGCTTTGGCCAGTGGAAGTTATCAGCAAAGGCTCCTTCGTACATCTTCATCAAATCATCCAAAGGCAGCTCAGCTACGAACGAGATGGGGGGGGGGGGGAAACAGAATTGATTTTGCTTGCCAGAAGCTGGCTTACAAATCGTGATCTCGTGACACGGGAATCCTACAATTGTCGTATACGTTGATGAAGATTCTTGGTTATCCAGGCAGAGCGGTCTGGAAGTTGAGTCTGGGCAACTGTCGTAAATGTGAGCTGGTTGCCAAGTGCCAAAGACACCAGGGGTAGAGTTTGGGATGGCTGGACTGTCAAGGCCAGGTCAGACCCACTACCCCTTCAGCACAGTCGTAACTGTGAATGATCGCTGAACAAGGAGCTGAACAATTAACCCTGTTAATATAGGCCAGTGATGGCGAGACTTTTAGAGACCGAGTGCCCGAACTGCAACCCAAAACCCACTTATTTATCGGCGGGTGCCAGGTGGGCGTGGCCCACTGGGTGGGCGTGGCTGTGGTGGTCATGGCAGATTGGGTGGGAGTGGCCAAGGTGGGCGTGATCACCTCAATGTTGCACGTGGGGAGGGACGCCTGTGGGGGCTGGGGAGGGTTGGGGGAGATCCAGGGGGTCTCTGCCAGGTGGGGCGGTGGGCAGGAGGCTCGTCCTGCAGGGTGAAGTGAGGTGAGGCGAGGCAAGGCGAGGCAGGGGTAGGGGTGGCTGCTGCCTGACACCATTGACCTCTGCACACAGAGGCCAGCGAGCGCATGGGTGCTGGGATGCATCCGGCTATGTGGGACCTCGGCGAGTTAGCGGGCGGCTGGTTGAAGAGGGACGGTTGCCATCTCCAGGGCATGGCCTGTGTGCCCACAGAGAGGGCTCTGAGTGCCGCCTCTGGCACGGTTGCCATAGGTTCGCCATCACTGATATAGGCTGTTACCTATATTTGGCACTGCCCTATGGCAGTGGTTCTCAACCTGGGGGGGGGGGCTGCGATGTCATCACAGGGGATCCACAAAGGCTTGAAGAAATGTTATGATTTAAATCTTAAGTCTCTGGGCAGCAGGGGGGGGGTCCATGGCCAGAATCTGAGGCCACAAAAGGTATTTAAAAAGGGTCCGTGGTGAACAAAAGGTGGAGAACCACTGCACTCACCTTCCTTCGCCAGTGTGGACAGCTCCAGTTGGTGGTTAACCTTCCCTTCTTTCGTCTCCTGCTCTTCTATTGTCTCCTCCTCATCTTCCACTGAAAAGAAAAAGTCAGCCCACCTACAGGTCAAGCCCAAAAGAGGAAGGAATATCCATGTGCTGGAACGTTCTACCTGCCCGCGAGGAATTCTATACAAACGGACATCTGTATTTTCCAAGCCAATCAATTAACGGACTGTTCATTTTAATGATGCCATTTGGGGTGGGTGGTTCTCCCTTAAAGCCTGGCTAATGGGTATGGATTTAAATTTTAGGAATTTCTTGTTATCCTATCATTTCATACCCTGCTAAACAGCTTAGGCGATGGGTGTCAAACTCGCAACGTCCCGTTAGCGTGACTTTTTTCCCACTGCCGGCAATGGGGTGGGCGCGTTTTCGGCATGACGCATCCGGCCCGCGGGCCGGCAGTTTGACACCCCTGGCTTAGACCATGATCACAATTACAGAATAGCTGTAATTTTGACATCCAGAAGTTCTAAAGCTATTTTAGAAACTCTAGCGGGACTTGCAGTGACACCCATTCAAGCTGAAACGTAGACCACCTTGCATTTTTCAAGTTAATTTTTTTTTTAAAACTGCTCTTTTTGGTAAATTGAAAGCAGCAAATCTGTTAGGGAGAATATTTCTGGGCTGTTGTTTTATTGTTTTGCTTTATTTCTTTCTCTCCGACACGGCAGGTAACTTTGAGACATCACAGCCTCAAGGAACACAGCCCAGCCTCCTCAATTTTAACGTCACACCTATAAATTTAGCTGCATCGTATATATTAAACAATGCACTCGATTCGATAAGGGCCGTCTTTATGTATCCAGAATGGCCAACTCCAAATCTCACAATTCACAGAACCCAATCTTTTTGGGGGGGGCTGGAGGGAAGAACTAAACCAGCCAAGCGAGAATAATTGAGAAGCTTTGTCACAAAATGTTGGTCTGATTCTTGAACGGGCGAAAGCAGAACAGTTATTTTCCCTCTGGAACTAAAAGGGAATCCCCAAACTGGAGATGTACAATTTTGTTTCAGTTTTCATGTCTTCTACCACACGGGTAGAGCAACGCAAGTAGATGAGATAAAAAGGGTGGATCAGAAGACCACCCATCACCGACCTTCGTCATCCGTGAGGGACGTGCTTGCTTTTCTCTTTCTTCTACGGGACCACGAACCCTACAAGATGAATATATAAATAGAATAGAGTTGGAAGGGACCTTGGAGGTCTTCTAGTCCAGCCCCCTGCTCAAGCAGGAGAACCTATACTGTCCCAGACAGGCGAATGTCCAGATTTTCTTCTTGAAAATCTCCAGGGATGGAGCTCCCACAATTTCTGGGGGTAAATATTGTGCATCTGTTTTAGAGAGTTCTTCGCCCAACCCCGTTCAGCAAATGCATGATTTATTGTTAATTACCTCCAAGGAGGAACAGAACAGGACCAACCCCCCCAAAAAAAAATTGTGAAGAAGAGGACGGGGAAGGTCTCCACCGGGGCTCATGGAAAACAGCTGCCAAACACAGCAGACATTATTGAAGGAGGCTGAGATGTGGGTACTTGATGTTAAGCAATTTCCTTCTTCAAAGGTTATCAAAGGAAGCTCACCACCAATGGCTTTGTTTTATGGACCAGTCTCCCAGTACAGTTCCCCATCTTCCCACTATACTCCTTATGTACAAGAAAGCTATTTACTGGCAGCAGATCTACCGCTATCTAAATAGACTTGAACAATTATAATTTCAAGAACAGTAAAACATGCAATATGTCCAGAATTGTCAACCAGGAGATGGGAGGGGGAAAAAAGATATCACTTACCAAGTTGTTTTCTTTTTCCAGAAGGAGATCCTCTAAATGTCTCGAATCTTTACCTGCAAAACGGTTACCCTTTTTTAGGCACCTTCTAAGTTACAACCCCTTATGTTAGCCTAGCACCGTGGTGACGAAACTATGGCACCAGCCCTCTCTGTGGGCACGCGCGCCATCGCCCCAGTCCTAGGCCTTCAGCTGGCTTTTATAAAACCTTTTCGCATTAGGCCTCCGCCACCATGTGCAAAAACAAAAAAGGTTCAATCAATCAATTTCAACTTGTCGCGGAAATAAAAAAGATCTCGCAAAGTTGGAATTGATTGATTGAACTTTTTAGTCCCACCCAGTCTGCCGTTACCAGCGCAGCCACGCCCACCCAATGGGCCATGCCCACCCAATGGGCCACGCCCAACCCAATGGGCCACACCCACCCGGCACCTGACGATACATAAGTGGGGTTTGGGTTGCACTTTGGGCACGCGGTCTCTAAAAGGTTCGCCATCACTGGCCTAGCATGTAAATTCAGCCAGGAGCAAGAAAAGAAAACCCGGTGAAAGAGAATGTTCCATATTCCCGTGTGGTAATTTATTTATTTATTTTTAAATGAAACCTAAAGAATCCAAGTTCTCTCTTAAAATCATACCTAAGGAACAATGAAAAAAAATGAAATTCGCCCCCAAAGTTAAAATAATAATAATAAGCTAGGATTAAGAGACAGCAGGACCACTGCAGCCCAGCAGGATCTGACCATTTTAAAAGAGTGGTTTTAAAAATCACCGTAACTCTTGAGCAAGAACGGACTTCCTGGTTTGCAACATGCAAAATGATACCGCCCTGATGACGTTACCTACTTTGGTAATGAGACGTTATGCAAGAAAACCCCCAAGCTCAGAGAGCCCCGAGGATGCCCCCCCCCACAGCTTCCTGTCTATCATATTGCAATCTCGTTTTGCAGCAAATGACCAGAAAACTACCTTTCTTTGCACGCCTCTTTAAGTTCAACGCTTTCCTCCTTTTCTCTTGAAATTCAATCTGCAGCTTTATTTCTACCACCTAAAAGAAATAGGGCAGAAATAGATTGATAACCCCACTTGTGAATTGTTAGGATGTTTGCATTCGCTTGACAGTCGCCTATGTGTCACCGGGACAAACCTGGCAGAGAAACTGAATTGAGTGGCCTCTAAGCAGCGGCGTCCAGGTAAGGGGGTCTTTCCAAGATGTTATTTCACCTGAGAATGAATCTTCTAATGATAGAAAGAGATAATTTCAAAGCCAGTCAAATTTTCCCAGTCGAATTTAGCCCCGTGATCTCTGTCAACTCCTAACAAGGGAAGATTTAAAAAAGTCCTTGAGCAGGGACAGAGTGATCTTCCCTCCAGCCAAGCGAAGGAACCACAATGGCTTTGTGCAAAAGGCCCCTTTGGTCAAAATTCTCAGCCACCCTCAAGTCCGCTCACGCCCCAGAGAAGCTGGGAAATTTGAACATCAGAGCTGCATGCAGTTTTCTGGACTGACACGGGACACATGAAATGTGAATCTCTATCTGGGAGTCCAGTTCATCCAGGGTGAACAGAATATCATTCCAGGGAGCATTCCTCCCACCCCCCAGTTTGAGGGCTTCAAAAGTGACTGGCAAAGAAAGAGAAGGATTACCTGTTCGATATTCGACCAGAAATATTCTATTTCTCTGGCAATTGTAGCAGCGATGCGCCTTAGTTTGGTCTTCTCTTCCTTCTTAACCCTCTCTGCGTTGAGGTGCTTCTCTTCGTGGTAGCGGGCCACTGTCCTGACCATCTAACGTAAAAATTTAAAAGGAGAATTGCTAGACAGTGGGGTCTTCCACCAATTTATCACAGCTCTGTCTTTAACAAGCTATTTTTAACCAGGGCTGTGGAGTCGGTAGATAAATGTTCCGACTCCGACTCCTCAGTTTTTTGTACTTCCGACTCTGACTCCCCGACTCCTCTGTATTAATATGCGAATGTATTTTATAGATTCCTTGAAGGAAAGAAAGGCAACATACATGTCATTACCACAGGACTGCTGGCTGGGAGAGGCTAGGTTACCCATGGGCGCTGCGTTCCCTGTAACAGCAGAACACAACACTATGGAAAGTATAAGTATTGCCACTCCTAATTGTGCGTTGCGTGCCATATAGTGAAGCACATGAAAAGCATGCTTCTTCACGGTCACTTAACGTGTTCGTTTTGCGCTTACGTGAGGCACTGCATGCATTGGTCTTTATTCTTACAGTAGAGAAGTCATTAATTATAACTTTTTGTGAATTGGGACATTTAAACTTGCTTTTTTTTAAAATTCCAATCTAAATTTAGTAGGAGTCGGAGTCGGTGCATTGTTTGCCGACTCCGACTCCAGGTACCCAAAATTTCCTCCGACTCCGACTCCACAGCCCTGTTTTTAACAGCCATGTTTGACAGACATTTTAAATACTGCTTTTTGTGAATTTTTCATGCATTAATGTTGTATTCTATTATGCCACATATATGAAAAAGCTAGCTTTTTTTTTTTTTTGCATTGATCATTAACTTTTTGAAAGCTCCCGTATATAAAAGTTTAAATAATCCTGACTACAGCAGCTTCCTTCAAACCAGCACGCGGGATCTGCCTGACCTTTTAATTCACAGAATTCCTCAGCTCCCGGGACTCTTCCTAGCGAAGAAATTCTGGGAACGGCAGCAGCAATACATCTAAATTAGAATTTTTCAACCTTGGCAACTTTTAAGACGCCTGGACTTCAAGGCCCAGAATTCCCCATCCAGATTTTCTAAGTTTGTAAAGATGCCTCTCTCTACACTAGTCTGCATCTTATCGGGAAGCTTTTGAAATCATTATCTGAATTTTAGTTTTAAAATATTAAACTGAATAGCAATATTTGCTTTGTGTTCGTTCTTTTGACAGTTCACCCGAACAAAAAGACTGGGAATAAACCGAATGGATGTATTTGATCCATAAATGCAAGGAATAAAAATGTACAAGTGGGTTTGCTCAGGAGCTGCAGAAGAAGTCAGCATCCTGGAGAACATCAACAGAAACAGCTCACAAAAGAAGCATTGTGATCACGAAAGCTTCTGCTAACTGTATCCTGACTTACGCACGAATAGATACCTCTTGGGTTAAGTAGTCTTGCGTACAAACCTTACATCAACCCACTCCATCTCATACCAACCTCTTCCACTTGGGTGTGCCATTATTCAACAGTTTGTGGCTAGCTAAACTAGCACCCCCGTTTGTTTGAACCAGAAAACTAGGATTATAGTTTATAGATTATATTGAGGACCCTGGTTTCTTTCACGTTTCTTCATTCTGGGCTTTGCGAAGGAATGACAAATAACCATCATCCAGACCTTCTTGGCAGTGGCCATCTTCCATCGTCTTTCTTGGGCAAAATCTGTTGCCATCCACTGCATCTCCTCCAGGAGATAATCCCACTGAGATTTGGGCCTGGGGGCCTCCTGAAGTTTTGGTAGCCGTCTCAGAGACCATAAGCCTTCTTTTCTCAGCTCCGCGATGCGTTGGTGAACGTGGTTTTCCTTGTGGAAGCAAGCAAGGGAGAACGGTAAGTTGGTGGCTAGGGTTTCTCGTGACATCGAAAGAAAGGAGGGAGCTTTAGTTGAAGAATTCATTACCAACAGTCCCTGACTTACGGCCATAACTGAGCCCAAGAAGCAATGGATGAAATTTATCAAAGAGAGAAGCAACCTAGAACTAAGGAGAAATTTCCTGACAGTGAAAACAATTAATTCATGCAGAGGTTGTGGGTGCTTCAATACTTGAGGCTTTTAAGAGATTAGGAAACCATTAGACAACGTGATGGTTATCTTGGTTATGCATTATTCTTTAAAAACGACTTGTTTTGGAATTCCTCAATATTTTTGATGCCATATCCTACTTTTAAGTGGATTTTGGCTACAATCCTATGTATTTGGGGGATTAATGTATACTGAATTTACTGGATTTTACTTCCAAAGGTATTTGCATAGCAGTATGGCACAAATGTACATTTCGTTTGATCAAAAACAAAGGATACGATCTAATACCCATTGACTTATGAATAAAACCCACTAACCATTTGCCTAGAAGACCTCCAAGGTCCCTTCCAACTCTGTTATTCTGTTAAATCTTAAACCTGGAACGTGGACATCATCTTTCAGACTATGGACTGAAATGGCCAGATGGTTGGCATACAGCTATTTATCGGTTAATAGCACTAGCAAAAGCACTTAGACTTATATACCGCTTCATGGTGCTTTACAGCCCTCTCTAAGCGGTTTACAGAGTCAGCCTGTTGCCCCCCAACAATCTGGGTCCTCATTTTACCGACCTTGGAAGGATGGAAGGCTGAGTCAACCTTGAGCCAGTCAAGATCAAACTGCTGGCAGGCGGCAGAATTAGTCTGCAATACTGCATTCTAACCACTGCACATAAAGGAAGGAAGGAAGGAAGGAAGGAAGGAAGGAAGGAAGGAAGGAAGGAAGGAAGGAAGGAAGGAAGGAAGGAAGGAAGGAGCAATAGCACTAGCAATAACCCTTAGACTTATATACCGCTTCACAGTACTTTACAGCCCTCTCTAAGCGGTTTACAGAGTCAGCCTATTACCCCCCAACAATCTGGGTCCTCATTTTATCAACCTCAGAAGGATGGAAGGCTGAGACAACCTTGAGCCGGTGAGAATCGAACTGCTAGCAGTTGGCAGAGTTAGCCTGCAATACTGCATTCTAACCACTGCGCCACCATGGCTCATGATCATAAACATGAGTCAGTTCACAAGTGTCTGAATGTTGACCACGTGACCATGGGGATGCTGCAACGGTCGTAAGTGTGAAAAATGGTCACAAGTGACTTTTTTTTGGCATCAGGGGGGAAAGAAAAACTCTTACCAACTTCACTTGCTCAGCCAACTTCTCGTGTGCGCTGTCCTGGGGCAGGGCTGCTGTGGTGTTTTGTGCTGTGTTCTGAGTTTTGGGTGCTGCTGCCACTGCCAGCCCTGGGGGTTTGGCGGCAACGGGAGAGGCTGATTTATTTGTCCCTGGCGAGGATCGGTTGGCTTGGGCTGAGTGCGTAGTTTGTGGCGCAGAATTGGCAACAGAAGTTGGCGGGTTGCTTGAGGTAGGAGGAACCACACTTGCTGAAATACGCTGGGAGTTTTGGTTAGAGTCGGAGGAGGGACGAGCCAGGGTTGTGATCTACAAAGAACACACATAAATTAGGGTACAAGTTTAGAATAGCAAACAGCTTCGAGGGATAAACCATATTCTGTTTTAGAGTAGCAGTCAAACAGAAAAATATATACACACATTCACCCTTGTTGAAAGGAAGCATTAATGCTCTGGTCTTGGATCTGAACAGTAGATAGTCTAACCCAGAGATCCCCAACCTTTAGGGCACCAGGGACCGGTTCCGTGGAGAGAAGTTTTTCCGTGGACTGGAGGGTGTGTGGTTTTGTGTGCTGCCTGCATCTCACGGATGGGGCTTTGCTTGTTTGTGAGGACCGGTTGCTGGCATGCCGTGGCCCGGTATTGGTCCACGGACCAGGGGTTGAAGACCCCTGGTCTAAGCCTGTTAGTTTTCATACACAATGAGGTCTCTAGTTACCAACAGAAAAATGTGCATGATCACACAACTGTGGGCTGCAGAAAGAAATACACGGGCATAGACCACTCGCATTTACAATGCCTCTTAAACAAGGATAATTGACTGAGAATCAAGAATGCTAGCTACGTTTTGCCTTTAATGCTGCCCCTACGCCCTTTAGATTTTATCTTGCAAGGTCATTCATATTTCTATCTTTTTTTTTTAAAAAAAAAAAGAGTTTTACAGAGGAAATCTTTTACCCTTTAGAATGGACTCTCATCCCTGACTAAAATGCCAAGTAACTGGATCTACCTACCTGCTGTGGGGCTGGAGCTTGAGAGGGCACCACCTGGGAGGGGGCCATCTGTCCCGGCCCATGCGCCGTCGGCTGCACTTGTGGCTGGGATGGTGCTTGGACCTGGCCATGGGACACAGCAGCAGCAGCAGTGACCGTAACGCTTTGGGGCTGAGCCTTCACGTGAATCGCCGCTTGCTGCACCGGCGGGTCATTCATCTGAGTTGCTTGGGGCGCCAGCTGCAGCGTTGGTGGAAGAGAGGTGATGGGCACGTTGCTTGACTGCAGTCTACCGGGCAGCTGAGGCGGTGGGGTGTGGAGACTGGCTGCATTCTGCACCGGGGGACCTTTAGAAGGATCATACTGCTGCTGGCTCTGCTTCTGACCCGTCAGCTGCACAGTCTGAGGGGTAGGAGGCATTCCACCTGCAAAGCAAAAAAAAAAAAAAAATAAGAATTAAGGAGGCCAGGCTCACTCAAAAACGTACAATGGCAGCACGCCGGGGCACGGTGAAGACGTGAAACGTCCACCGAATTACTTACTTGGCCGCTCCAGTAAATAAACCGTAAATATATATATAAACTCGGATCAGTTAAATAAACCAACCCTCTTCGTGAACCGGCAAATTCAGAGTCACTGGGGAATCCCGGCAACAGAAACCACCGGCACAACTTGAAGATTTGGCCTAGTGAATCGACCGGCGGGAAGCAAACCTCAAGATGAACTAAATGGCTAAATGAACGTCCTTAAGAAGTGTCGATAGGTAGTTATGAAACAAAAACCAAAATCGAACGCAAAAGAGAAATGGAGGCACTAAGAGAAAAAGGGGGGAAAAAAAGAACCACTGGGGTTCCAGGACTAATTATTTCGGCTTCGTCACGCATGAGTGGTTGGGTTTTTTTTTTCTCCCCCCATGCCGCATGCATCGCATTCCCCGGCCTCTTTTTGACACGAGCAAGCCACTTCATGCCCAACGTTAATTTGCAAGGGGGTGAGGGGTGGGGGGGCAGAACCAGAGCGCTCAAAAAAAGAAAAAAAGAAAAGAAAATTTAATTCAAGCAGGCTTCTGCTTCCCTCGCCCCGCCCCTTTGCCAAATTAACGGGCGGCTGGCAGGTGGCCACACAGTACCTTGTGCAGTTGGCATGAGCTGTTGAAGAGGGACTCCCGAGGCCACGCCTGGATGCTGAAAAACCATCCCGTGACGGCCCACGTCAATTCGGGCTCTCTTAGACGAATCTGGTGATATTCAAATTTCCATTTATGGCAGGATAAATGCACAAGGAGGCAGGGGTGTGTGTGTGTGTTGTCAGGTTATACCAGGGATGGCGAACCTTTTAGAGACCGCGTGCCCAAAGTGCAACCCAAAACCCACTTATGCATCGTTGGGTGCCGGGTGGGCATGGCCCATTGGGTGGGCGTGGCCGCGGTGGTAACGGCAGACTGGGTGGGACTAAAAAGTTCAATCAATCAATTCCAACTTTGCGAGATCTTTTTTTTCCCCGCGAGTTGAAATTGACTGATTGAACCTTTTTTTTTTTGTTTTTGCACCCGGCGGCGGAGGCCTAAAGTGAAAAGGTTTTATAAAAGCCAGCTGAAGGCCTAGGACTGGGGCAACGGCGCGCGTGCCCACCGAGAGGGCTCTGAGTGCCGCCTCTGGCACCCGTGCCATAGGTTCGCCACCACTGGGTTATACAGTTTGCAACGCTGCTCCCTGGGAGTTCCGAACGTCGCTATCAACCAGCCTACCAGGAGGGGGTTTGGCCCTAAAAGATACTTTAAAAACACAGGTAGTCCTCGACTTACGACGGTTTGCTTAGTGGCCAAAGTTACAAGGGCGCTGAAAAAAGGGACCTAGGACCGCTTTTCACACTTGCGACCGTTGCGGCACCCCCCCCAGGGTCACGTGTTCGGGATTCAGACGCTTGGCAACTGGTTCGTACTTATGACGGTTGGCGTGTCTCCCCCCCTCCCCTTTTGTGACTTTTTCACAAAGTCAACGGGGGAAGCCAGATTCACTTAACGTCGTTTAGTAACTTAACGACTGCAGGGATCCGCTTAACAAGGGTGGCGAGAAAGGTCGTAAACATGGGGCAGAACTCGGCTTAACGAATATTGTGCTTAGCGACATAAATCTGGGGCTCGCTCGTGGTCGTAAGCCGGGGACCACCTGTACTGTTCTGTACTGTGGCTGGGTTTTTGTTTTGTTTTTAAATCAAGACTAGGAAAGGAGCGTGCGGTTGAAGATGTTGTTCCTCCAAATACGGCCGCTGGAGGAGAACCTGACAGGATGGGACTTTTCCGTCGCAAGAGCCTGGCCAAAGGATCAAGTTGAGGAGTGGCGGTTTTAATAAAAGTGCGAATCGAAGCCGTCTTCGGGTTGAGACCCTAAAGGGACTGGAAAAGTTCTGCAGAACGAGGAGGAGGAGGAGGAGGAGGAGGAGGAGGAGGAGGAGGAAGAGGAGGAGGCCATACCTGCTGATGTAAGTGCTTGTTGTCTCTTAAAGGCTTCAATTTCTATCGCATTCACCGTTCCAGTTACTGGAGTCCCTGCATGCACCTGCTATTGTAAAACAGAACAGTCTGTGAGTGGGAGACAGTTATTTTATTTTTTTTTAAAGGCAGTTCACCCTTGTTTTTAAAAAGTCGACAGTGAAGGAATGTGAGCTTATTTTGATTTCCAACGGTTTGCCTTTGTATTCGTTTGGTAAAGATCCTGTCGATCACAAATATAAAAGCTGCGGATGTGCCACTTGGCTGGATCTCTCTTTCCTAACAATACAATAGGCTAAGAGCTTTCTCTCTCCCAACTCAAACCTCTCGCCTTTGTATTTCTACCATCCCGGTCTAATCAACTGATCCCCTATTTTGCATTACAAACAGATCTATCCAGGAGAGCTCGGTGCTTGCCAGATTACATGGGTGGCTTTCTCCAAAATCCAATACTGTTGTCTTGTCTCCTGTTTCTCTCGTCTACAATCATGCAACGGGGACGTTACCTGCCAATTCTCAACTTCCCTCTAAATAAGAAAGATGAAGTAGTTTGCCATTACGGTGTGACTGAAAATAATTCCCTCCAGTTCCCGATGCAAATTTCTGCCTTGTTTTTCTTCTAAGCTACTGACATTTGGACTCTTGTATCTACAGCCAGGAAGCCCACATAGCTTGTCACTGATTTGGTAATGAACATCGCTATTTTTATAACGGGTGTGGGATTACATATTAGAAGAGAGAGAGAGAGATGTGTCCATGAAATGAGATTAAATGCCCATTCTGTCTCGCATCCTCATTTTTCCCCCCCCAACAATCAGTAAAAAGATTCTACTTAAAACTTTATGGCAGGGGTCTTCAAACTTGGCCCTTTTACGACTTGTGGACTTCAACTCCCAGAATTCCTCAGCCAGGCATCCTTGCTGAGGAATTCCTGGAGTTAAAGTCCACAAGTCATAAAAGGGCCAAGTTTGAAGACCCGTTTTACGGGCTGCTAAGGCAGCCATTTTCTCCACCGTGCTACCCAAGGAAGAGGTGCTTTGCCATTAAGCATGGAGCATCTGCTTAACCATCTAATGATCCCACCTTGAATTCTCTTACTCTACAAATTACAAATTACTCTCCTGCTTGAGCAGGGGGCTGGACTAGAAGGCCTCCAAGGTCCCTTCCAGCTCTATTCTATTCTTCTTCTACTACTCTGACTAATTATCGTTTAAAGACATATTTATAGTAAAGAGGATGTTTATTAATAGAGTCTTTTATATCTGTGTTTGCTTTTTTTAACCCTCTTTTTTAAAAATCTGTTGTTGTGCCCCACCCTGAGGTGCCCTGAGTCAGATAGGTAGCGATATATATTTGATAAATAAAATAAAATCAATAATCTAGCTTGGGAGGGAAGAAGCACTTCTTTCGAATCGTTCAGTATCTAAACCCCGTCAAGTTCGTTGTGTCAAGTTCGCTCCCAAATTCCCTCAAATAAAAAGACCTGGATATTTTCTGCATGGACATTTGTCTTTACTGAACCAGTAAGGACACAGTAAAGAAATGTGTGCATCACTTGGAAAAGCTGCTCCTGATAACGAGGCTTACAAATCTTGTAGTAAGTAATAAGACTCTCTGGGCTGCTTTGTAAACTTACTTATTTAGCTTATTTCCAGGCTAATCAATTCATAATGACTCTGGGCAGCATTGGGGTCAACAAACGTTTTTATACAGCCCTACAGCAGCCATATTCAGGTTGAAATATGCACTGGAAAAATTGACATTAACCAAAGGATTGGATTCTTGATCTCCAGAGTTCCTATTAAGCCTATTTCAGACACACTGAAAACCAATATAAATTTTCATAAATGAATGAATGAATGGGAAAGCATATCTCATCTCTCTTTTCCTTGCCTAATGATTTCTGCACTCACCAGAGCTCTGTTGCTTCTGAACTGTAGAAGCAATGGCCTACTCCAGTGATGGCAAACCTTTTAGAGACCGAGTGCCCAAACTGCAACCCAAAACCCACTTATGCATCGTCGGGTGCCGGGTCGGTGTGGCCCATTGGGTGGGCATGGCTGCGGTGGTAACAGCAGACTGGGTGGGACTAAGAAGTTCAATCAATCAATTCCAACTTTGCGAGATCTTTTTTTTTCCCATGAGAAGTTGAAATTGATTGACTGATTGAATTTGTTTTTTTTGCACATGGCGGCGGAGGCCTAAAGTGAAAAGGTTTTATAAAACCCAGCTGAAGGCCTAGGACTGGGGCGACGGCGCGCGCGCCCACAGAGAGGGCTCTGCGTGCCACCTGTGGCACGCGTGCCATAGGTTCGCCACCACGGGCCTACTCTAAGTAAACAAGCAGAACAGAGAAAGGCAATATCCCCTGACATTTCTATTGATCTTATTTATTGATCAATAATCTACTGGCTACCCCTTATTGATTTAAGACATTGACATAGCTGCCCATCTTATAACAAACTCTGGGTGGCTCCCAATCAAAAATGAAGTTAAGTAAGATACAGAAATGAAAATAAGAAAATAAGTAAATAAGAAAATAAGTAAAACTATTAAAGAAAACAGATGAAAACCAAAACCTGGTGCCGAGTCAAAGTGGATTCCCCACCGTGACATTTTCAAAATGTCTAGTAGGTGCCTCGCTGGACATTTATAAAAAAATCTTTTTTAAATAAAATGTAAGATGCAAGCATCTATTTATCTAAAACGTTTTTTGGGGATCCCATTTTTTTTTTCGCCTAAGAGCAAACAAACAAGGCTGAGAGCTTCATTGTCTAAAACCAAAATGCCAAAGCTATCCATCTCCTGTCTGCAGGAAGAAAGAACACCTAGTCCTAGATCTGCAAAGGCTCCTTTTGATAACACTCAACCATGGTCTGTCATTAGTACCGAATCAAGGTATTATGGATTCACATGCCACAGACCCCATGCTCGCTTCGTCGCACTTACAGTTAATCCGGCAATCCTGTAATGCATACACTTGGGCCATAAATTAGCATGCCGCTGGACTTTATAACATGGGCTAGCTCAACCTGAACCAGAAAGAAGGGAGGCAGGGTTGCAAACTTGTCATTTTTGCAGGTTAGCATTTGAGGACCAACACCGGACCCCCAAAAAAGAATTTGTAGAAAGGATTCCACAGTCAGAGAGAGAGAGACACACACACAGAGAGAGAGAGAGACCCACAGTTACGAGATAGTACATACAAAAGAACCAAAGGACAAGCAAACCAAGTGGAACACGTTAAAAGCTGAAAAGTTAATGAAATCAGCCAGCAACTTTGAGACAAGGTAAATAAATAAATAAATAAATAAATAAACTTTCTGGGTATCCCACGAACCCTCATGCATTGGAAAAGTTTAAATGTTTTACTGCTCGTTTTCCTAAAATGAGAAGGGATGGATGGGCTGATGGGGTGGGAGAAGGAGAAAAAAAAAACACACCAGACTTCACTTTCAATTATCAAATCTGACTGAGCAAAAATAATGATCATCAGTATTATCATCATCATCATCTGGGATGAAACTTAAGATTTATTATTTTTTTTTGAAATCCATTGAAAAAAAAGTACCTGAAATGGTTGCTGCTGAATTGAAAAAGCAGCAGACACATTTGGAGGAAGCTGGGTTGCTATAGCAACAGGAGTACCAGTCTGCCCATCCTTGCCTGTCACAACCTTTACCTGAGAGGAGATATTTTGGGAGGGGGGAAACAAAAGGGGAAATCATTTTTTTTTTCTCTTTCAGACTCTTTTTCTCTTCCCCAAAAGAAGAAAAATCTGATCGACGCGTCCCGCTTTGCATTACCGCAAACGGGGCTGAGAACAAAAGGTGTAACTTCGTTCCACTCCGATTATTTTTGTTTAAAGAGTTCTGGTGGGTGGTGTGTTGCTGCTGTTGTTGTTGTTTTGGTTATATATCAAAACAGAGTGAGGGACAAGCTAGCAGCAGGTAATTTCCCTCTGGCCATGCAAAAGTCTACATTGAAATCGCATGTAGACGTTAGCCTGGGTTAAAGTTGGAGATCTTGGCTTTCTAACATAACGACAAAAGTAGCACGACAGACAGGAGACACTCAGAAGAGCCCCAGACATTGATTAAGCAATGAGGGCACACCTCCCCCTTCCCCCACCAACCACCACCATTCCCATAATGCTCAGCCCCATCTAGACGAGCGATGAGGTGCGTTGCTTTAGCTTAGCAGAAGATGGTGAAGAAGAGAAGGACGTCACAATATACGAAGGAAGGAAAGAGACATTGGAAAACCTTAGAGGTCAACATGTCAACACGCTGTCATTTGCTGGTTGGACGAGTTGGTTTTCCATGGCTTTTTGTGAAAGCTTTCCCTACATCCTGTGGGGTCCTTCATGCTCTGAGCTTGCAGACATTTCATGACCTGATTAGGTGACGTCATCAGTGTTACAAGGCAGCGGGGATTCCCTCGCTTTTTTACAGACTAGAGTTGGTGGGAATGTTCTCGGCGGCTCCTTCGTTAGGCTGTTGTTGACTGTTGGATTGTTTGTCTAGGTCAGGGGTAGGCAACCTGGGCTCTTTGATGACTCGTGGACTTCAACTCCCAGAATTCCTGAGCCACCGTGGCTCAGCTTGGAAACCTCTCCCTTTCCCCTCAGCGTGGCTGGCTCAGGAATTCTGGGAGTTGAAGTCCACGAGTCATAAAAGAGCCAAGGTTGCCTACCCCTGGTCTAGGTTGATAGTTCCTTGATTGGAGTATTGTTTAACTGCTTGATTGTTGGTAAACAACAGCCACCAAGGACATTCCCACCAATACTGACAGTGCAAGCCACTAGTATAAAAAAAGAGAGTGAACCCCACTCCTTTCTAGCCCTGATGATGTTTCCTAGTTGGGTCATGAAACGTCTGCAAGAAAACAGCCAAGCAGGTCAACCTGAACTATAAATATTCTGAAAACAGCCAAGCAGGTCAACCCTGAACTATAAATATTCTCTTCTATCTTTCCTGAATCCGTTTAGACCCGTTTTTGGTTCCCCCCCCTTACTGACCCTACCAATCAATTTTCCAAAATGAGCATAAACGTGTAAGAAACATTTAGCTGGATATCTCAGTGAGGATCGTGGAGACCAGAAACATTTGCCCAGTCCCGCTAAACAACAACTACATCAAATAAAGATTACTTGCAGATTCAAAACGGGAAGCCAAAGATTTTTGTGTCACAAAAATCCAACAATTGCATCAATCGAAGGGACCATTTAAAAAAAGATGAGAGAGACAGTTAAAAGCCCATCTTTTAAACTATCACAATGAACAGAAAAGAGCATCATTAATTTTGTCCCGAAAAGTTCTCAGGTGAACAGATTTTAACAGGACTTTCTCAATAATACCTGCTTTTAAAACAAGCAGCCTTTGCCTAAATATGAAACGTTTAAAATCAAACAAAGGGACATTACATCAATGTGATAGCTTCCCCTGGCTTTATTAGGATTAATTCAGCAGCACAAAATAATTAATTTCCTGTGTGATGGAGATGCAGCACTTACTACCTTCTGAATATTTATTATGCCTTATGAGCAATCCATCTAATTTGAAAGCCTGCTCTCCATTCAACATCCCTAGTTTTTTTAGGAACACAGCCATTATCGCTATGACGGAGGTAAACATTCTATTAATTTACTAACAGTACAATTATACTCACTATTTTTTTATTAAAACCAAATCTGCCATAATTTAAACCCCTCTCAGGAAACTGTACCTACAAATCAAAACCTATATATTCTATATTTTTAACAAAGCTAAACAGCGACTGAGTCAATTTACGAGGCTTCAAAAATAATCTCAGAAAGCAACTTTCTGTTAAACGAATGACACTTCAAACTGGAATTGTAGAACATAAACGGTTAATAAAATTCCAATGAAAGATTTTCTTTTCTTTCTCTCTCAAAAAAGTTGTGGATGTGTATAAAGAGTACTCACGGTTCAGAATAAGAGATTGCCAAAGTTTATGCAGTTTTACAAATAAATAAAAGTAGATAAACAAACACCAGTTTATAAAATGTTGACGGCATGTTTTAACTTTAGGTTGCAATTCTCAATTGTAACTACTTTAGATTGCAATTCTGTATACAATTACCTAACAAGTCTCACTAAATTCAAAAAGCATATGCAAAGCATTACATTAGAACTTTTTTATTTTCAGAAAAAAAGCTGGAGATTGGACATTTTCAGCAAGACGATCGAAGAAAATACTGGATTGGGGTAACCAATTTGCAACTTTTAAAAAAACATAATGAAGGGACATGAATCAGGATCCAAAAATTACATCTAGCTTCTATCCGTGATATTTAATATATTTTTGTCTTCCACAGCAAATGTGTAAAAAGAGGCACAGAACTGGATCAAGTTCCTGCCCCTTTTTCTCTATACGAGTAGAAATAAATGGTCTGATTCCTTATTAAAACAGTCTTTTCTGATAATACTTTTTGAGATATAACTAGGAGAGCATCTCAGATCATAGAGTGATGAGACAAAGTAAAGCAAAACCCAAGAGTTAAACACAACTTCACGCTCGGTTTCTAACTCCTGCAAAGGACGATTTGGAGTCTGTGGTTTCTTTGAAGACGCAATCAAACTTTTCCATTTCCTTGAAACTTCCACTTCCCCGTTTTACAATGAGCCTTCAAAGATGAATGAAAAGACACTCCTACATTTTACCCCAATCCAAAAGGAACGTCCTGCATCCCTTACTTGTGTTAGCGCAGGGGCTGACACAATAATTCAGCACGAGTTTTGCAGACTGACGCATGAACTGTTGGACCAACCAAGACAATCTAGTCTTCCTCAAATGTTTCTCCCTGACAAAATCCCAACTCAACTTCATTTAGAGAGGGAGAGCCACTGCCTCCGAGACACTCGCTAACATACTCAAGTTCTAGCCAAGGTGGGCAAAAAGAGAGTTCCTACCTCATCGTTGATGACTTCAGATTGTTCTTCTTCTTCCTCCTCCTCCAGATCCAAGTCGTTCTGCCGAAGGTAGGCTTGCAACGGCAGGCAGTGCTTTTTCCTGAAGGCCAGGAAGTCCATCATATTCCCTTGCAGGTGTTGCAAGAAAAACAACTCAACCAAGTACTCTTTGAAAGCATCTTTCAAAGCCTCCATCTGCTTGAGGTGATGCTCCAGACACTGCTTCCTCATCTGCGCGGCTTCGGGAGTGGCGGGGGGGATTTCCTCCACTTTCTTGGCCTTTTTCACCACGGCACAGACCGAGGGGCCCAGCGGGAGGCCGGTGAGCCCCTGAGGGATGCTCGCCCGGGAAGGACTTGTGGGAGGCGGTGGGGAAGTGATGCCGAAAGCAGGGCCTCCGACCCCGGCGATTAATCCGGCAGAAGTCCTATCAAATCCCAAAGGTCTGTTCAAGGGCTGTCCTTGTTGTTGCTGCTGCTGCTGCTGCATTCCTTGGATAATATTGCTGATCTGGGGCGGCAGGTTGTTAGTGGTGATGTGACCAGGGTTAGGTAACGCTTGGATATTTCCTCCGCTAGCCACAGGGCTCTGAGGTCCGAGATGATGGATGGTGCCTCCGGTCTGAGAATGGGGCTGGGAGAGCCTGCGTTCTCGGGCTGTGACCGAGGCGCCGGAGGATGAAAGCTGGACCTGGGCCGTGCCGCTTTGAGCTATCTGAGTGAGGCCGGACCCTTCTTGATACACAAAGTGTCCGCCGTTCGAAGGGCTCAAGCTGATCTGCCTCACCAACACGCTGGCGTCCACGAAGCCCCGCGTGGGGCTCTGGCTGCACATGCCCAAGCCGGGCCCTGGGGTGCCTGCTCGAACACTTGAAATGGTCTGAACGGAGACCGGGCTGGGCTGTGTGGGGCTCTGCGACTGAACCTGAGGTGGCAACGGAGAGGTGACCTGGATATAGGAGGGGGAGCCATGCTCGAACCGTCTTTGTTGAGGGCTGAACTGAAAGCTAGGGGAAGTCGGGCTCGGGATTGGCAACGGGGTGAGGGTGATCTGCTGGTTGGTGGTAGAAACAGGTCCCACATTCTGCAGGGTGATGTTCACGTTTTGCCCTGCTACTGGGCTCCGGCTCATGATAAACTGCTGGATTTGGTAGCTGGGAGACTGAGGCGCCGAAGGGCTGGCCGAAGGAGCAAAAGAAGGGGCCGGAGAGTGTGGCAAGTTGGCCTGCTGATCTTCGCTCTCGCTGCCGGTGAAGGATCGGGACCTCTGGAGCTGGCGCTGTGCATTTTGCGGACCACTCCCATGGTGCATTATCGCGCTGACAGCAGTCTCTAAGTCTAAGAGAAGAAGATAGACAAAGTTCCATTAATTAGGGGAAACTTAAGCCGAATTCCTTGTTAGGGCAATTGACCATCCCTTTCTCCAATTCCGTATGAAAGTTTATAATCCACAAAGAGAGATTAAGAGGGGAAAAGAAAGGGAAATGCCTTTATGAATAGCTTTTGGATTTTGAGAATGATTATACTTGAGAAGGCTGAGGAAAACAGTAACAAAAAGTATAGACAAAATCTTGGACCGATACGCATTTGTCCAAAAAAATCACCATGAATCAAATCTAATTTGACAGCGCCCATCTTCCTAACTGAAAACATCTCTTCCCAGTCAAATAAATAAATAGAAACATTTTGTTAAAGTAACCTTCCAGCCATTGAAGACCCTGGACACATTCTTGTGGATTGCAAATTGCACTCTCCAGAAAGGGCGGCTTATTTAGATCCTTATTTAAAAAAATAAAAAATACTGGGGGACTAGGAAAAACAGTCTCAGCTCTTGCAAAGAACAAACCTGCACATCAATTACTATACTCTTCGTATCAAAGGCCAGCTCAAAGAGGACAGAACGCCTTGATCACAAGTGAGTTAAGTGCAAGGGTGATGATCTATTCTGAAGTTTCATTTTCTTTTCACCTATTTGCATGTTTGTATTAATTGGATACAGTCAATTGACTTGATTAATAAAGTTCTCTTCTTCTATTTCACCTTATACGATGTTAATTTACTCTTTTATCTTCACTGTATCTTACTTACTACATTTTATCCTGTTTTATCTCCTTGTAGCTATTTTATCTCACATCACTGTATCTTATTTCATTTTATTCTATTTTACTCTGCCTGATGCTGCGTTTTGATATGGTCCATTGACTTAATTAACAAAGCCTCTTTCTTCTTCTTCTTCTTCTTCTTCTTCTTCTTCTTCTTCTTCTTCTTCTTCTTCTTCTTTTCTTCTTCTCCTCCTCCTCCTCCTCCCCCCTTCTTCTTCTTCTTTTCTTCTTCTTCTCCTCCTCCTCCTCCCCTTCTTCTTCTCCTCCTCCTCCCCTTCTTCTTCTTCTTCTTCTTCTTCTTCTTCTTCTTCCTCTTTTTTTCTTCTTCTTCTTCTTCTTCTTCTTCTTCTTCTTCTTCTTCTTCTTCTTCTTCTTCCTTCTCCTCCTCTTCTCTTCTTCTTCTCCTCTTTCTCCTCCGTGATCTTCTATTTGATCTTCCTCTTTTACCTTCACTTTTATCTCACCAACTACATTTTATCCTATTTTATCTCACGGTTAACTGTTTTATCCAACTTCACACCGAATCCTATTTTGCTCTATTTTCCTGTGGCTGACGCTCTTCTTTGATTACAGCCCACTGACTTTAATAAAGTTCTTTCGTTTTACCTCACATTATTCGATCTTCCTTTTTATTTTTTAAACCTTCACTTTATCTTACCTGCCACATTTTATCCCGTTTTATCTCCCCTCAGCCGTTTTCCCCCCCTTCACTGAACCTTAATTCTCATTTTATTCCGTTTTACTGCGGCCGATGCTCAGCTCTGAGACGGCCCCACATGGACTTAAATCAACCGAGGGCATCCTAATCTGTTCTTCGCCTCCAGACGCTTTTAACGGGCCTCGGCAGCCTGTCGGGCCAAGGGACCGTTAGCCGTGGCCGTTCAGCCTCGCTGCTAAAGAGGAAAAAAGATGAGGGGAAAAAAAGCCCAGAAAAAGGCAGCAGGTCTCAAAGTCCAACAAACGCGCCTTCCATAGCTAGAAGGAAAAAAAAGCGTTCGCCTTCCCCGCACGTCACCTTTTTGGCCTTTGCCGCTTCCCGTTATTCCTCCCTTCGCAGGCGCGCGCGACGCCTGGATGCGGGAAGGGAGGGGGGGAGCGGGGACCGTAACGTTCCTTTCGAGCGGCCTAAGCCGCCTGCCCTCCCTCCCACCCGCGGCGCCGCTGCTGCCGCCCTCCCGGCTACCTTTTCTTCCCCTCCCGCGTCGGCTCTCAGGAAGCCGGAGCGCGCGAGCGAAGCGTCCGCCGCTGCTCAGCGAAGACGGCCCGCTCCGAGCCGGGCCCAGCCTCGGCCATCCGCTCCTGACAGGAAACGGACTGCGGCGGGGGAGGGGGGTAAAAGGGAGGAGCCTGAGGAGGACAACAAAAAAGGGCGCATGCGCCGGACGGACGAGCGCCGGCAAGGGACAAAAAAAAAAGAAAAAAAGCCCCCACGAAAACGACGTGGTTTTTTTTCCCTTGCAATAACGTAGCGGCTGGAAAGAAAGGAGTGCGCATGCGGGAAGAGACTCCGCCTGGCGTAGAGACGAAATGGGAAGGGGGGGAAAGGAAAAAGCCCGTACTCCGCATGCGCAATGTGGAAGTGTTGCTAATTAAAAAGATTTGGGTCCTGCGTTTTGGAGGTGGATTTTCCAAATAAACAAATGGGGTTTTAGGATTCTCCTAAGGAGAATCTATTGATGCATGCATTCTATTCATGCACTCAGTGAGGTTCCACTGCCAAAGCACGCAATAAAAAATGATTTTTTTTTAATTTCACATGGAAAGAGGTAAGCTGGCTGCCCTGACTTTACAGTATCTATTAAGACTAAATTTAGTATTTAGGAAGGCTAAACCTCTGGTCTCAGTGTCCGACCCAGATTGGATCTTGCAATATTTATTAAGTTTTTATGCTGCCCATCTCACTCTGCAGAGCGACTCTGGGTGGCTAATACGAGTGGGGGTATTCTTTATTGTTTGCATATGGGCTTTTGCTTTGCAGAAATTGGACTCAAAGCAGGAAAATTTCAAATCTGCAAGACATGTACATTGCAACTACGGTGTTGATTTATTGTGTGCCATCAATTCCTAGTTTTCATTTCCTAGTGACCTCATAGATTTTCTCCCAATCTCTCCGACTTGATCCTTTAGTCCTTCCCCCATCAGTCCAGTAACTGAGTCTGTCCATCTTGCTGTTGGCTACAACTCCTTTTTCCACTTTTCTCACCATTATAGATTGGCGCGCGGTGGCTCACATAGTTAGAACGCTGGGTTGGAGGTTAGCAAGGCTGGATTCGAAACCCGAGAACTGCTGCGTGTCGGGATGAGCGCCCGCCACTCACTCCAGCTCCTTCCAAGTTCATGAAAAGAGTCCCCCACAGACATCCCCCAGGCAAAGGTGATGTCCCCCACTAATCCTTTCAACACTGTGGTTTAAATGGCGACTCCAAGACTGTTATCAACTTCTCACACAAACCGAGGCTGTTGGCAACTTTTAAAACAGTTTCAAAGAAGTTCAGACACAATCACCCTGTTAGAATCCAGTTTATTTCATTGCAGTTACAGATTACAAATCTGGACAGATGAGAGTTTAAATTAGACATATTCTAAAGCAGGGGTGTCAAACCGCCAGCCCTCAGGCCGGATGCATCCTAGCGAAACCGCGCCCACCCTATTGCCGGCAATGGCAAAAAAAGTCGCAACATGTCACGTGACGTTGCGAGTTTGACACCCCTGCTCTAAAGTCACTTTTCCAGACCTCTAAAATTCTGTCCCGAACAAGGTAGAATTTTAACAGGGAGACCATCTGGAGTCTTGTGCAAGAACCAAAAGAAACTTTTAGATAAGAGTAGATAGAACAATTTGACCTTAAATCTGATCCTACCTCTCTTTAGTCAAGCGGCTGAGATCCTATGTCATGCTAAACCCTGATACAGCTTGGTTTTGGATTTTGCATGCCCCTGCCAGTGTTAACTTTGTTTTAAAACGTGGGATTTAAGGAAAACCACGTTGCTTTTTATGTGGGTCTTATCAAACAGCTAGGCTTCTTAATGGCATTATTCCAACCACTCAATGCCACCAACACAGGCCGATTCCTTCCAATGTTTAACCAGCCAGTTAATCCAAGTGATTAACTCATTCTGCCCATATTCCAAAGGAGAGAACCTTGGTATCTGTCTTCTTGTGAAGATCTCAAGATCAATACGTTATACACGCCTGGGATCTGTTCCGGAGATCAACCGCGCTTGTTACGTAGAAGATGTGACTGGCATTCAGACGTCACTGTCCATTGTATCCCAGTTAGAATCAAAGTGCCTAAAAAGGAAAAAAAGAATTCAAACAGAAATTCCTAATTATACATTTAGCAAGCCAGATATGAGATAATTTACTGCTTCTCAAGCAATCAACAGGTAACAATAGGGGATGTTTGTTCCAACTGTAGGCCTCAAAGGGGACCAAGCACCCTTCTGGACATCCAGTTCATAACTTTCACTGTGTCCTCAGGCAATGCCAGGGCACTCCATGGGTTGTGGAGACTCTGGAGTAAGGCTGAGGAAAAGCAAGAGCTGCAATTAATATTCTAATTATTACACCATTCCTAATTCTCTCTCTCTCTCAACAAATGAGCTCTTGATGCAATTAAGCTATTTATTAATTATTCCAATTTCACACCCTCGGATCCATAATCCGCAAAACACAGAGAACTGTGTTGAGCCCATGATGGAATTAAAATTATTTATTAATTAACTTATATAACCACGCCTCTCCTCCAGAGGATTCTAATTGCTTGCAAGCAATTAAAACTATAAAAAAACCTCCAAAGAACCGTAAAACTGTTGAAAAACAAGCAAGAGACGATAACAAGCACGTTAAAAACCATCATAAAATACATAAAACTCACACCCTACAAACCCATTCATTTAAAAACTAATCAGTTCTCCATTGCACTGGCTGGAAAATTCATTTATATTTATATATTTAAAGTTCCCACCAGCCAGAAAAATGTCCTTTCCTATTGTTTTTTTTTAAATGAATTTAATCCTTTTTAAAAAAAAAAAATGAATTTAATCTACTTACTAGTTTTATCCATTTTTTCCTTCTTCCACGTTTGCTCAAAAAACACGTTTACTGCATTCTGCACTGGGCGGCACCACTTTAGAACCCCCCTCTCCAGACCATACCATTCCGAGCTATTCATGGGGGGGGAAGAGATTCTATTGGTCGATGCCAATGTAGAGCTCCATCAGCGCAGGCGCAATGGATGAGGGTTTTCGTAAGCGGAAGAGGGAAACTAGGAAGATCGGATTCCTGCTACGGAAGCCAGCAAGGGACAAAATAACATGGAAAGAAAAGGCAAAGCTTACACATTCGCCTCTCCTAATCAATGAGATTATTGACTTATTTAAAAATAAGAGCTGCAGGAATGTGAAATTTTGATTTTCCAAGCTGGCACAACAGTACCAATTAATAAAGCCTGATATACAGATCTATTTTTTTTTATTTTAAAACTGTTTTAACAAACAAGGTTGATTCTATCGTGGGAATTGTAGATTTTGTTCTGCAGGTTTCCCCAAGAGATAAAAGTGTATTTCTAAACTGGATCATTATTATAAATTATTTTTCCAGTTTTCCAACAATTTGGCTCTCCTATAGTCATGCATTTTGCTCATCAAAATATACTCACATAATAATTGGATTAAAACCCCAACAGGTTAAAGTTTATTTAACCTGGTTCACCGAATAAATAATAAATAGCCATTTATTTGCAGCTAGGCTGCAACCTTTTTTCAGTCTTTATTTTTATTAGGGAATTCATAATGATCCATATACTCATCCTTGACTTGCAACTATTAAGTCACTTTTTTCAGTACCGTTGTAACTGAATCGTCACTAAATAAATACAGCAACTAGTAAGCCACACAACTACATTCTGATATGTTTTTCTTGATGGCTTCCAAAGCTTAGAATGTTCTCTAACCTCCCCCCAGATCAAACTGTATCAGCATTATATGCAACCTAGATTAGAAATATTTTTTTTAAAAAAAAACCTTTGTACCTTGTGTCATAAGAAGCCTTTATTATTATTTTTTTTCAAAAGGAGCATTAAAAAAAACCCCTGAAATAGTCAGTTTTCTAAAAAATGGAGATGAAACACAGATGTTCCAACCCAGAGTTTGTTTCAACCACCACATTATTTGGTCTATGAGAAAGTGGAAATAAAAAATAAAAGTAAAAATACATTGTTGTTGCAAAAGGAAGAAAGAGTTTCCAAAGTCCTTATTACTTGGCTGAACCAATAATGACAGAAAGCTTTCCAAAGGAATAATTAATGTTGGCTGCTTGGAAAAATCAAAAGGGAACAGCATCCTTAACAGCTTGCACTTATCCGTAAGAGTCTCGATAATTATTTTTCTCCATTTTAACCATAATTTAGCAAACTTCTTTTTTTTTTTTAAAAAAAAGGAAATATTTGTATAGAGCATAATTAAAGCAGTGTTTGTTCTAGCTAGCATGTCTCCCGTTCCGTTGCTGCAAAGAGGGCAGAAAAAGCATCACTTTTGTCCATCTCTGTTCAAGACTAAGGAACATTCATCACTGAGAAAAGCTTGATCTTCTGGCCAAAGGGACTTGAATCCATGGTACCAAAATGTGCCTGAAATCCTCAATCGGAGTTGTCTTCACATCCGTCGCTCCCTTCAGGATCAGACTGAAAGAAGCAACACACTTTAATTCTTCAATGGAGATTCTCAATCATCCAAGTCATGATTTTTTTCCCCAAAAGGCAACTGGATTTTCTTGGGGTTTTTTCCCCTTGAAAATGTTTCACTTCTGATCCAAGAACTGAAGCAAGAACTGATCCAAGAACTGAAGCTTCTTGGTTGAGAAACAAAACGTTTTCAAAGGCAAAAAAACCCCAAGAAAGTCCAGTTGCCTTTTGGAAAAAACAAAAACACATCTTTGAGACTTTAATTCTTCCCAAATAAAACCCCCACGTAAGGCAATAGTTACAATCTGCAATATCATGCTTGGAAGTCACAATCTTGCTTATGTCTTAGTTTTCTGTCTATGGAGGATCTCCGCCAACCAGACCACGGTTGTCTCAACGGTGCTTTCAAAAAGGCAACTGGACTTTCCTCAACGAAAACTCAAGAAAGTGCAGTTGCCTTTTTGAAAGCACCTTTGGGACAATCTTAGATTTATAGTCTGCTTTCTTCAAGGACCCCATGGAATCTCCATTAGCGTCTCCCATCGTGTTATCCCTCCCCAATGATAAATCTGTGGGCTGAGAAATACCCAAAATTATTTTGTTTTCTTTTTCTTCCTCATTCCCTTCTATGGATTCTGCCACACATCTGGGGGGAGACCTTTGGGGAAAGGTATGTATATTGTTCTTTTGCTTATCCTCTCCGCTTCCTCTATCTGCTTACTCTTTGAACTATTCTCCCCCTTGATGTCAACCTGGGGATGAGAAAGGAATGTGCCTCCGGCCATCTGGCTTATCTCTCCCTGCGGATGAGAAGATGCAAAGACTCAACGTCTTATCAGCCTTGTTCCCACCACGGACTTAACACCTGAGGACTGGTCCGTAGAAACTGACCAGATGAACTATTGGGGTGGGGTTTGCTCCTTTAACCTATTGATTTGAGTAGGGAACCCTCAGATCCTGCCTTCTATGCCTGCGGTCAGCTTCTCCTAATAAAAGTTCCTTTTGGGATGAATCTGTTGCAAGAGTTCTGCTTTCGTGGGAAGAGGTTTTGAAACAGGTCCTTACAGTCTCTCCACTTCAAGTCCAGCCCCATCGCTACTGAATCCCCCTAGTTCTAGAGCTGGGAAGGAGGGAGCCCAAATTATTTCCCCTTACCTTAGCATCTCGGGCGTCTTCCTGCAACTTTGAGACGGTGGAATCAAACTGATGGTTGAAGAGCGTCTCCAGCCAGTTCATCATGGACCTTTCTTCCTTCTCTGTATTGATAATGGTGGGGTAGATGTGCTGCTCTTTGAAAGCCGCGATCTTCTCCTCTTCTTCTGCCCACTCCAGGGCTTCATGGAGACCATCGTCCCCAAACCGTTGATTGTAGCTCTCGAAGTGAACCCGTTCCAAAATCAGACCCAGTCCAGGAGCTTTGGGGATGTCCACTCTCTCCTCTCCCCAGCTCTGCTCCAGGATGGACAGGGTGGCGTGGCCCTTCACAATGGCGATCACCAAGCCGATCATTTTGCGGATCTGGTGCATCATGAAACTCTGTCCTTTCACCTTCACCACCGCAAACTCCATCCCGTTCCTGACGAAGGGCTCTTCGCAAAACATCTCCATGATGTAGCGTTTGGCGCTGGGATCCTTGGGGCCCTTCTGGGAGGTGAAGTTATGGAAGTTGTGGGTGCCTTTGTAGCAAGCCAGGAGGTGGTTGACGGCCTCCAACGTCTCGGCACTCAAGCGGTAGGTTTCATCTTGAGGAGCATCATCCTTGTGGGCAAAGGCGAACGTTGGCAGCATGTACGAATAGGTCCGGGCATCACATCTGTTCTTGGAATTGAATTTCCCGGTCACCCTTTTGAGCCCTGTGGTTTTTTTTTTTAAACAGACAAAACTTTAGGACAATGTCAACTTTGGGTCAACCTTTTCTCACAGCTGGGCAGGATCTCAAAACAAGAACTTATACACACCCCAGTATGGGGCCTTTAATAATGGGTTAAATGCCGAATCCAGAGGAATTTCCAAACCTGATTAAAAGTCATTTCCTTAAAGTAGAAGCTCTTGGGATGATGTGTATGGAGGTTCTCAGTCCTCCAGGTCATGGTTATCCCAAAGGTGCTTTTTTCAGGAGGCAACTGGACTTTCTTGTTAATAATAATAATAATAATAATAATAATAATAATAATAATAATAATAATAATAATAATAGTAATAATAATAGTAATAATAATAACAATAAAGTTGGAAGGGACCTTGGAAATCATCTAGTCCAACCCCTGCTCAGGCAGGAAACCCTATACCATTTCAGACAAATGGTTGTCCAATCTCTTCTTAAAAACTTCCAGTGTTGGAGCATTCACCGCTTCTGGAGGCAGGTTGTTCCACTGGTTAATTGTTCTAACTGTCAGGAAGTTTCTCCTTAGTTCTAGGTTGCTTCTCTCCTTGATTAGTTTCCATCCGTTGCTTATGACCGTTTTTCACACTTACAACCGTTGCAGCGTCCCTCCCTGGTCACACGATCAAAATTCAGACACTTAACCACTGACTCGTATTTACGACGGTCGCAGCGTCCCCGGGGTCACGCGATTCCCTTTTGCGACCTTCTGACAAGCCAAGTCAACGGGGGAAGCCAGATTCGCTTAACAACCAGGTTACTGACTTAAAAACTGCAGGGATTCACTTAACAACTTTGGCAAGGAAGGTCGCAAAAGGGGGCTAAACCCGATTAAGAAATGTCTCACTTAACAACCCAGATTTTGGGCTCAATTGTGTTTGTAAGTTGAGGAATACCTGCAGAGGGCTATCTATATCTGGAGGGTCCCAGACTGTATGCACAACCTTAACTGACCCCCCCCCCCACATTTAACGTCATAAGTTAAATATTTCCACCGGTGCAGAAAAACATGTTGTTGTTTCTGGTCTTTGTAGCTGTGCAAGATTTTATTCCTGCTACACAAGGTTTGACAATGGGGGGGAGCAAGACCCCTTTTTACTTGAAATGAGAAACCCCCAAGTTTCTTGTGTCTATGATATAATTCTAAAGCTTACCTAAAATTCTTATATGAGAAGGAAGATGCTCGTTAATCTTCTGTAAAATATCTTCGATCAGCCAGACCTTCAAGGAAACGATCTGTCCAGCTGCAGACACGCCCTGAATTTTTTTTCCAAAAAAAGAGAGAAAAGAAATCAAATAAAAACGAGGAATGTTTTAAAACAGAACTGGACAGAATTTGGCAAAAATGCCAGCGGGTCACGTTTTAAAGGATGTTTGTTTGCAACTCAATTTAGAATTCACAGACTTGAAAATGTTAAACGTCCAAATTAAGTCCGAGGGGGGAAAAAGCTGCTTTTTCAAAAACTGGCTTGTTCTTACTCTTTCGGCACAATCGTAATTCCCCGTCGTTAAACAGATGGTCGTTAAGTCAAGAACTACCTTATCGGTCCTGGCACACCTCTGAAACGACATTTTCTTCATGTCTTCTCCGTGATTTTCTGGAATACATCCGGATTTGATGAGGGCTGATACTAGGTCATCCTCAATTGTCCTGTACTGGGACGATTTCACGTTGCGCTGAGAGGGGGGGGGGGAGGAAAAGAGAGAAATGAATGTATTCAACTCATCTGAGCCTGGAGAATAAATTGCTCTGCAGACACGAGCCTGCCTGAGGAATTCTTGGAGTTGAAGTCCACAAGTCATCAAAGGGCCAAGTTTGAAGACCCCTGATCTATGAGACCATCTGAGAGAATCTAACATCAGCTGAACCAGCTCATCTTCATCCAAACAAGGACTTTAGCAGATCTATAGATATAACATTCAAACATCTGCAGAGAACAGAATAACAGAACTGGAAGGGACCTCGGAGATCTTCTAGTCCAACCCCCTGCTCAGGCAGGAAACCCTATCTCATTTCAGACAAATGGCTGTCCAGTTTCTTCTTTAAAACTTCCAGTGTTGGAGCATTCACCGCTTCTGGAGGCAGGTTGTTCCACTGGTTAATTGTTCTAACTGTCAGGAAGTTTCTCCTTAGTTCTAGGTTGCTTCTCTCCTTGATCAGCTTCCACCCATTGCTTCTCGTCCTGCCTTCAGGGGCTTTGGAGAATAGCTTGACTCCCTCTTCTTTGGGGCAGCCCCTGAGATATTGGAACACTGCTATCATGTCCCCCCTCGTCCTTTCTTTTCATTTTTCTCAACTTTGGCAACTTGAAGAAGACTGGACTTCAACTCCCAGAATTCCCCAGCCAGCAATTTTACCCTCATTTTTACATCCCCAAGAAGCTAGTGGGGAAGAGTCCCTTCTGAGTCTCTTTCTCCACCCATTATGCATCTGTGGGCTGTGCCGTCTCTTTTCTGACCGTGCCCTAGGCCAGGGGTCCCCAAACCACAGCCCCTTACCAGTCCACAGCCTATTCGGAACCAGGCTGTGTGAGAGATGGACTGGGGTGCACACAAAAGCACACTTCAACTAATGCAAGCGGTGGGAGGGCTTGCAGCCAAGCTGCGCATGCATGCCCATGCGTGCCGGCTTGCCACTCTTGCAAATGGAGCTATATGTGCGCACCAGCCCCATACTCATGGGGCAGTGATGGCGAACCTTTTAGAGACCGAGTGCCCAAAAACTGGCCCTGCCCCCACTCCACCCCCTGCCCCACCTCCACCCCGCTTGCCCGCAGGGCCACTCACCGCCTCCAGGGCCCGCCGCAGATCGTCCAGGCAGCCCAGCAGCACCATGGCGGCCATGCCCTCTGCCCGCGCCCCGCAGCATCAACTGTGCACGATGGGGCGTGAGGGCAGAGTCTTGTCTACGCTGCCTGGCCGCCATGTCCTTGGCTGTGCTGCTCTGTGTGGGCCACGCTCGGGGGCGACTCTCCTCCAGGGGGGCTGCTGGTGAGGAGGGGGTCACGGGAGGAGGCAAGGCTGGGGCAACGGCACGTGTGCCCACAGAGAGGGCTGCGAGTGCCGCCTCTGGCACCCGTGCCATAGGTTCGCCACCACTGTCATGGGCCGTGGTTCCCCTCTTCTCCCCCCCCCAGCCAGGCTGGTAAGCTGCAAAGATAAGGGACCGCTGCCCTAAGCACCCTCTCTTCCCACCACCCCCACCCCGTCTCCCAAAGTCTTTCCCACGTGCCATTCTATCCAGGCGCTGACCTGCATTCCATGGTAGCCCTTCCCACAATACACCAGCAACAGCGCAACTTTCTTCTTCGGGAATTTCTTTGCCTCGTCCTTGACCTCCTCTTCCTCATTGTCCTTGAACCTTTTGACCTCGTGTCCATTCTCTTCCTGCTTCCCAGGCTCCTGCCTGCCGTCCCCGTCCCTCGGCCGCTTAGCCAGGCTGTTTTCCAGACTTCCCAGCTGCTCAGCCATGGTAAGACACTGGAAGAGACCACACCAAACGCCACAAGGACCCAGAGATTAATGGAGGAATAGCTGCTTCGTTGCGATGCTAGTTGGGTATGGTAGTCAAGGACCGTTGCGATGCTAGTCAGGGATAGCTGAAATGCTACTTAGATATAGGTGTAATGCTAATTAGATATAGGTGCAATGCTAGTTAGATATAGGGGCAATGCCAGCTAGGTACAGTGCAATGCTAGCTAGCTACAGTTGCAAGGCTAGTTAAGGACAATTGCAATGCTAGTTAGGTATAGTAGCAATGGTAGTTATGTACAGTTGCAATGTTGGTTAGCTATATAAGGGTAGAAAGAGAGAACCCACATATAAGGATGGGTTTTAAACTGCTCTGCAGCCCCTGCTTCTGTCTCTACGTTGCTTGTATAGAATATAAAATAACAAGGGCTGAAGGGACCTGGGA